CTTGCAATCAGCCTGAGCAAGCCAAGTATTCATGATGTACTTAGAATTTTTGTAGGACTCTCCATGGGTTTTATAATTAAATTAGCAGCCTATTGACTAAGCAGACATATTTGCCTTTTTATTATGCATAAAAGCTGAGTTCTTTTTAGCACATGGAGTTTTTATAAAAAAAAAATTTACATTTTTGACAGCTATATTTAGTCTGAAATGCTAATGTATTTCTGACTGCTTTTTTTAACTATGAAGTGATGCAGCCCATCTAAAGGTGGAACAAATCTATTAAACTTTTTTCACTCTCACTTTTGATAGGCAACACAAATAAACCCCTTAAAACACAGCTTTTCCCCTCCTCTGCAGACTCTTTAAAATAAGTAGGAAGCCGGTATCATTAGAATTATTTTACCTGCCCACATAATAGAGCCCAAAAAATGGAGAACAAAAGCTGTGTTGTGCTGGGAGATGTAAATCAGGTGACAGATTTTGATCACAACTCTGTGGGATACTATCAGACTGCTTTGCATAAATCAGAAAAGTGCTCTGTGGCAGCTGACATGGAGCAGTCTCTCAGTCCTGATTAATCTGTGCCTCCCATCCAGGGGAGGCCTGGTGGGATCCTCGCAGGCACAGTGGAGCAGTTTGCAGAATTTGGGGAATTAAGGCATGTTTGGGTTGTTTTAGGTAAATGAGGAGTGTCTCAGTATAGCCCAACTCATGAATTAAAAAAAGGAGGGCCATGAAAAAGGCCATTCCTGCAGCATTAGAAACAATTCTGATCATCTGTGTGAGTGTGGCACTCCAGGCACTTGGCTTTGTGCTTCCTGTAAGGAGAATCCTGAAGGATTTTCATCCACTGCTTTATTTCCAGTTTTATTGAAAAAAAAAAATATATGATGAAAGTTTTTATCAGTGCTGCTGGTATTTAATGAGGTGCCTTTAGGAGCAGTGCTAGAAAATGGGACAAAAAGGAATTTTTTGTTTCTCCTTTCCATTTCTACTTTCCCTTTAGTTTTACCTTTTATCCTTTTCTGTGGCTTGTGTTTCTCTCTGCTAAAATAACTTTTCTTTCCCTGTTGTCCTTCCTTCCTTCCTCCATGTGCTCTGTCATTCCCATCTGCTATTATTCCTCTTCTCCACCTTCCTGCTTTTGTATTCCTTTGTATTTTCAATAGCAAAAATGTCTCTGGCGGGGCCTTCCCATTGTCTGAGCGCTCTGGACAAACACACAGAATTCCCTGTAAATCTGCTTCCATCCCTGCATTGTTTCCTGACTGTGGTGGCCATGGGGTGGGACAGCTGTGCAAGGGTGGCAGTGTCACCTCACCTTTACTCCTGCCTCTTTCTCTAGCCCTCGGCCACTTTTGGGATAGCAGCACTGTCCAAACATTCCTTGAGTTCTGCTCGTGGCAGTGCCATGCTCACACCTTCAAGGAATTAAAGGATTTGGTTTAATTTTGTGTATTTTATAGACTTGCACTGGGATTTCTACCTGGGAAAAAAAATTATATATATATATATATATATATAATTGAGCCTGCACTGTCAGGTAGTTGCACTAAATGATTGTTGTAGGTTTCTTCCAACTGAAATAATTCTATTTGTATAATAACCCAAATCTTTTTAATAGAACTGTCCAAGAACATAAAGCTTGACTGAAACTGAAGGCACAACCTTTCACTTCATTCCTGTTTGTAGCTAATTCTGAGGCTCTTAAGTACTGTGTTTCACAGTGATAGATGTGACAGGTTTCAGTGATACTCAAATATTTTCCTTGAATATTCTTTCAGTACCTCATTTAGTTTGTCTCCTTTCTTATTAAAAAATGGCAAATGATTGTGCTCTGCTACTTCATCATTTCAAGATTTCTTCTGCAGTTGTTCCATTTTGCAAATACTGATTTAGATTTTTGTTCTTTGATGATAACATCCCTCTCCTCCACTTCGATGGGCTAGGTAAAATAATGTGTAAAGTGCTTTCAAACGCAAGGTGTGATCTCATTTCACCGTGTGAATGACACTTCAAACTGCCTTTAAATTCCCTTTAATTCAAGGGAATTGCAGCCTTTGTGTCGAGGTTGTGGGATCAGGAGCCAGCCCCAGTCCAAGCTGAGCCTGGGCAGGGGGATGATGCTGCTGCTGGCAGTTGATGCAATCCTGCCCTCTGATAGAACACAGGCTGTAATCTGAATTTCCTGAGCAGTTTTACAGGCAGAGGCAGAAGCTGCAGCAGGTCAGAGCCCCTGGCTGTGCTGCTGTAACAGTTTCTGCTGCTCCAACTTCACAACTCGGGGGAGAACCTTGTAGCAGGTTTGGAGGAGAGGCTTGGAGTGTTACAGGGAAACAGCTTCAGGCAAGAGGATTCTCACAGCTTTTGAGGTGCACAATCCATCATGCAGGAGTCCTGCTGGGATGGATTGTGATGGGGAGAGAAATCTCTGTGGAGAGGGAAGTGTTGCTATAAATCAACAACAAAAAAGATTTCTGTGAGTTGGGAGAAAGTTGGACGCCTGGAGTGGTCAGGGAGGTTTTACTGGGAGCTGTGCAGCTTTTCCAAAGGATTTAAGGTCTGGGAAGCAGTGGGATCATTGCAGGGGGTGGGTGATGCTGAGCAGGTGAAAAGCAGCAGTGAAAATCCAGAAGAAACCCCCTGAGGTCTAACTACTGATGGGATTTCTCTTCCTGGTGGTTTTTGCAGCATCTCCGAGAGCTTCTCCCTTCACCTGGGCCAGCCTGTGGTTTGCAGGCTCTACTAATTACAAGGCAGCAGGAGCTGAACCATCCTAACTGGGCTGGCTTTTCAGCCAGAGCTGAGCTTTGACAAAGACTGGGGCTGTACCTTTTATGTGTGAAAATCAGATGAGCCTGCAGCCTTCAGCTGGCAGTGAGGGACCAGTTGAGCTGTGTCACAAGCACCCATTTCACTGCATCCCTTCTGGAGAGGCAGATGCAGGTTGTCTCTGGTGTTTAAAAACCACTCTCTCTGCTTTGGTACAGAGTCTCGATGGCAGGGCTGGTAAACTCATTTTAAAAATCATAATAGAAATTCTTTAGATTAAATCCTAGCCAAGGTCACTCTTGCAAAAAAAAACTTCACATCACTTTTTGCCATTAAGCTGCTTTAAGGAAGAGCAGGTGTAGCTATGGCAAAATACAGACAAAATAACCCAAACTTTTGACAGAGCTGCTCATGATGTAGTTTGGGTATTGGATACCAAGAAGCTCTTTGTAGTGTGGACAAATCTTATCTATTAATCCATAGCTTCCATTTATTTCAGCTGGAGATTGGCTGTGGATGGGGAAGGGAGGGCTTTGGAATGTGCTTTATTCCCCCTTCTCCATGTTTGAGGGGAGTGGCTCATCTTTAAAACTTTGGAGTTCTAAGGATTATTTTTTTTTCCATCTCTTTTTTCCATCGCTGTGGTGTTTTGCAAGTATTGATGACTGAGACTTCCAGTGAGTTGTCACTTGTTCTGGAGAACCTCCCAAATCCTTGGCAGCAAGGAATGCTGTTCTTCCCTCCACCTCTGGCATCACCCTTTGTTTTCTTAGCAAAATTCTTGCATTTGATCCGATCAAAAGAGAAGCTTTCAGTTGTTTTTTGTCTGCTTGGTGCTGCAGGCGGTGTGGAAAACCTGGCTGATGAATGAATTCCTTAAAATGGAACCTGTGCTTGGCTTCAGTCTCCATTAATAGATTGGGTTTTTTACATAACTTTGCATAACATTTGAATAATCTGGCATTGTTGGTTTTGAAAGCCTTGAAGGGCTGTCAGCAGTCACCAAAATCATTCTTTCAGTAGTTTGTGTACTTGTCTCAGATTGAATGTTTTCCTTAAACACTGTCTTTCAGAGAGTTATTTTGCAGACTAAATCCCATAGGAAACTATATCTTTTTTGCTTCTTGGAGGGCACTGGAGACCAATGTCTGGGGCCTGTAGTGATTTTTTTTTTTTTCCTTGTTCAGAACATCTGTTCTGTCTCTTGGGATTTGGTTCCCTTTGGACTTGCATTGCTCAACTCTTGCCTATTTATTTTGCACAGTTTACAGCTTTTGAGGCTAAAAATTTCCTGCCTCTGATGCTTTTGAAAGGAATATTTGTAATGTGTTGTTAAGCCAAAGTGGTGATGAATTTGTGTTTTTGTTGTACTCCAGATTAAGATTTCTAAATTCTACAAACAGAGAAATAAACCTACTGAAGTGCTTGTATATTCCTGGAGCACAGCTTAAGCTTTTCAGAGTTTATTGTTCTTAGGCTTGGTTTTAAACTTGGACAAACCTGGGTTTTTCTGGCCTTTTGAGGGGTGAATGATGCTTTTGTGTACAGAGCAAGCCAGCAGGGTTGTGCTGAACCCTCTCAGGTCACCCTTCAAAGGATACAGTTCTTTGTATCCTTTACAAAGAACTTTGTATCCTTTATCTTTTATTCTGTAAATATCATCCTTTTGTCACAACATTTCTCCTTTCTACTTCCAGGAGTTTATTATTCCAGCTGGAACATGCAGAAGTAATTTAGCTACTACTTGTGTGTCTTCAGCAAAGCCCATTTCAGTGCATTTTATTTCCCTGTTTGTGCTGCCACTTTAGGTGCTATCCAAAGGATTGTCTGGAGTGGCTTAATGTTAATTTGCTTTCTTTTCCAGAATAACTCTACTGATGCTAAAATCCTTCTTAATTCCACTTCCAAGAGCTGGAAAATCCTCCCTGTGCACTGTGGGGGTGTCTGAGGGAAGCACAGGATTTTTATTGTGTTGGTAAAAAGAGGTTTCATGTGAAATTAATACCACTGGGACAAGTGTAGGTGCTCAGGTGAACAGTGCTGCAATTTAAGGGATCCTCCCTGCTGTAATCCAGACCTCCCTTCCCAGCTGCAATATTTGGTGTTTAACTTCCCCATACTTCTGAGGCCATCAGAACATAATCAAACAACAGAGTTATGTAAATAAATGTATGCAGTCTATTGGATATATTTGACTATTCCCTTTTTTTTTTTTTTTTTTTTTCCCATAACCTCCAGATGGTAACTGGGATCTCAGCTCCAACTCCTTCATGTGTGAGGGTCAAGGAATGAGTAAGAGCCTGTTAATAGAGGCCAGTGGGAGTTGTAGGGAAGGAAAGACAGGAATAATCTCTGCCTGAGCATTTTCTGTTCAGCTTTGGCAGAGCTGCGGAGTGGAGCAGAGGATGGAGATGGTGATCCTGGTGTTTGCTCTGCTCAGCTGGGAATGGCAGCTGAGCCCTCCCAGTGCTGGGGCTCTGGGGAAGGGGGTGTTGGGCTGGAAATGACCAGCAGGATCATGGGCAGGAATGTTTTATTTACTGGGTGAGGAGCCTCGCTAAGGGTGGAGACTCACTGATGCCTTGCTGTGGTCACGGAGAGCACAAATTTCTGGAATTGTTCGAGCTGAATCCTGAATATTCAGTCAGAGTGGATTAGGTGAGGCAGTGTGGATTTTGAGGGAGTTACCTTCTCTGCTTCTTATCTGCTGTTATTTCAGCGGCTGCAGGAATTCCTTTGCTTCTCTGACCAGTACAGAATGTTCTAAAGCTTTTTTTCCTTTCTCTTTTTTCCCTTCCTCCCTTCACAGGGAAGTTTCTCAGCAGAACACTGAGGTGTGGATGTACAGCTGATGAGGATCCTTTCCAGCCTTAAGGATTTTTTGTAGAATACTTGAGGTTTCTTTACATTAATTTTCCAAATAGTGTTCCTTGCACTTGGGTGGTGCTGGCATCCCTGTGGAAAGGTAGCAGGAGCTTGTACAGAACTTGTGATTATTTTCTATAAAATGCATGTCCACATCTCTGCCTGGATGTTTTCCTCTATTGTATATATAATTATTTTTAATTTTTTTTTTTTTTTAAGGATTGGACCTATCCCATGAGGAGAGAGATGCAGGTAGGACACTTTTATTTACTGTTTGAGGCAAAACCCATGGAGCATTTAATGAGGAGAAAAAAGAGCTGGTATCAAAATCAGTCTTTACCTCTAAAGTGTCAGGCAGCACCATGGGAGACAGAACTAATTAGTTAATTAAGGTGAGGATTTTCCAGCTTGGAATACAGGTGTGTTTGCATCTCTGTTGTGCAGGTGCTAAAACAGAAATCCCCCACATATTACATTTTTGTCTTTCTGAATGTTTTTAGATGATTACAAAAAATGTATCAGAGGTTTGCCTTCTATCTTAGATTTAGAAGTGTTGTCCAGTGGGATGGACAATAAAGATTTTCCTACCATGGTGTCAGGCAAAATTTTGCACAAGACAAAATCTACACACCTGCATATCTTCATTGGTGGGGAGATAAATGGATTAAAACTGACATTTTCCCACTGCTAGGCCAAAGCTTGAGGAATTTCCATGAGAGCAATTTGGAATTAATTACAAGACAGATAATAAACCAAGTTAAGAGTTCCCTTCCCTTGATCTGGGGTTGGGTGAGATGCAGGAATCAACCTGGAGCTTAGTCCAAATCAAGGGCTTTGTTCCTGGTCCAAAACAAGATCTCCAGCACCAAGATCATGTTTCTTTTATCCTGCCAAACCATTTTTTTCCCTTGTCCTGCTATAAATGACATTGATTACACATTTCAGTAATATGTAAATTATTTGTGTCCATGTTCTGAGGTGAAATGTGTTATTTGAAATCATTTGGAGTTGGTATTAAGTGTCTGTTGTTCTCCTGCCTCCTAGGAAATCTTACCTGGGTTATTTTTAGGCCCATATTCTTCAGCTATGAAAAGCAAGGTATGATTTTTCAGAATATTCTCTCTTTGCTGTGGTGATTTGATTTGTTACTGTGGAGATTTGCTCAAGTGTATCTATAGAGGTGTAAATTTGGTTGCAGTTCTGAACTGGAACATGAAAAATGCCAAAGTGGAAGGAATATGTGATGCATTTGTGGGATGGTCTGAGCTATTTGTATTAAAATTGAGTCTTAAATAGAATTTTTTTTTAGAGAATTTAAACTATTTGAGACACTTCACCAATTCCTATTTCCTTTGCTGAAGTGTTGCAAGACCAGTCAGAACTGGGAACTCACACACAGACATTAAAACAAGGAGAATTAAATTACAATAAAATCAAGCACTGCTCAGGCACAGCTTGGCTCTACAAATTTGCCTCATGGTTTAAATGATCTTATTTTCATGGTCTGGTTCCAGCAAGAATCCAAGGCTGGCTGCAAATTCCTCCCTCATGTAGAGACTTGAAATTTCAGGCAAAGTGAAAGGTGGGGAGAGACAAACAAGTTAATTGAATGCCTTCCTATTTTGTCTTTTTTTTGTTTGTTTGTTTGTTTTGTGTTTTTTTTTTTGTTTTCTGGAAAAACCAACATTTTTACACTATGATTTCTAGAAAACCAGCTCAGATTTTCCTTGATATAGCTCTATTTGGCATCTAAGTACAGCTTTTTTTGATTACTATTCCTATATATAATATACTATAATAATATGTATAATATAGTAATATATCTATAAATAACTAATATATATAACTAGTCTATTTATTACATATTTTCTTTATATTATTATTAATAATTAATATTATTTCTTTTTCTATTACTGTCTAATAGATGAATCTGTAATTTTAAAAATACTTTTTTTTTTCTTTCTCCACAGCTACCTATACTTCAGAAACATGGAATAACCCATGTAATATGCATACGACAAAACATTGAAGCAAATTTTATTAAACCAAACTTCCAGCAGTTATTTAGGTGAGAAATGATCAAGATTCCTTTGTGTGTGTGTGTTTTCCTTCCAAATATTTTCTTTCCAAATATTTCTTTTTAAATATTTCAATATTGTCAGAATTATTTGAAAAATGTGCTGAGGTGCAGAAAAACTTTAAATCCAAACCATGAATTTTATTCATCCTGAACGAGCCTACAAATTAGAATTATCCATAGTTCGCAGCAAATGTTTTCAGTGATTTCTGAGAGGGGAAATCTGTCAGGGGGTGTTGGAGGAGATTCCCCACTCCTTTCCTCACAAGGTTCTTGATTGAATTTCTGGAATTTCGAGCAGGAATTCAAGGCAGGGGGTTGTGCTGGGTTCCTCCTGCAGTGGAGGGGTTGTAGCAGCTCCCAGGAGCAGCAACTCCGTGGTGCTGTGTACTCACAGGAAATTTTCATTGCAGGTATTTAGTCTTGGATATTGCAGATAATCCAGTGGAGAATATAATCCGGTTTTTCCCTATGGTGAGTAGATGGATTGGGAAGGGAAATCCCCAGGAGTTTTCTGAGCTAACAAATAGCAGTTTCACATTTGGGATACTCAGCCTGAGGCACCTGGAAGTGCTGCCAGCTCCTGACTTTATTATTGACACTTTAATAAGTGTAATTAATTCTTTTTTACAAGTATGGAAATAGGTGGAGTTGTAAGAGCTGCTTCTTGTTATGGTATTAAAAAAAAAAAATTAAAAAGAGTGGCTCCAAACAGAGATTTGGGGGAATTCTGAGGCCCTTGACCTGGGGGAAACATTTCTTTGAGCCCAGGAATAGTTACATTTCTTGTTTCAAATTCAAAATAATAACTAAGTTTTACAGTGTCTTAAAACATGTTTGCTGCAGAGGAATTAAAAAGTAACTTGTAAATTAAACAATGCCCATTATTGGAACATACACCCTGGTTTGGAGTTGTGGGTTTGTATCTTTATTTGAGTTCAGTTTGCAGCTGAACAAAAGGATTTTGTTCCCTCTTCCACCAATAAACCCTAAAGTGCCTTCACTGGTTTTGCAGTGACAATTTTAGGAATAGTTTAAAATACAAAAGAAATACAAATGTCCAGTTGAAGTGGGGTTTAAGTCTGTGCAATTGTCACTGATATAAAAATATACCAAAGTTAGGTGTTAATACTACTTGCACATAAAATAATCTGAAAGTTTGAGTCTTGTATTTTTTTTTTTCTTTTCAGACTAAAGAATTTATTGATGGAAGTTTACAAAGTGGAGGTAAAACTATATTAACTTTCCTCTCATTTATTAAGGTGTTGTTAAAGCTTTAAAACTAACTTAGGGGTATGGATTAGAGGCTCTTAAATAAGAGCTTTTCTTAAATTTGGGGGGTTTATTATGCTTGATTTGAACTCTGTTACACAAATTCAGAGCAAAGTGTTCTTTCCTTTTGCCTCTGACTGGAAAATCAACCTCTGGGGTTTGGGGTTTTTTCACTTGGAACTCAGCTGAGTTCTGTGCATGAAGTTTTCTTGTTCCCCCTTAAATGTAGGACCTGAAATCTGCATTGTGGCCATTCTGTCACTCAGAATCTTCCCAGGAGCAGGAAAAAAAATCACATTTCAAAGAATTTTATTCAGTTCATACAAATATGGTTAATTTTTTTTTTTTATTATTTCTCAGGAAAAGTTCTTGTCCATGGGAATGCAGGGATTTCTAGAAGGTAGGAAATGAACTATCCTGATACTAATATTTAAACAATGGAAAGATATTTTACTAATTTTTGTTTTTGGTTTTTTTTTTTTTCCCAGTGCTGCCTTAGTTATTGCATATATAATGGAAACATTTGGGGTGAAGTACAGGTAAGAAGAGCTATTCAGGTTTTAATTCAGGTGGTGTGAGTGAATGATGATTTTGGTGGGAACAGAAACTGTTGTGTTTTCACTCAGTCTCAGTGCCTTACCCAAGGCTTTACCAGGAGCTGATTATTCCTTTTTCTTGTGTTTACACCCTTTTTAAAATAAGAATCAGGCACCTGCTGCTCAGGGAATGAAGGCACCAGCCTCCATCCATGGATAAAACCTTGGGAGAGCCCCAGGGGCTGTTCTGAGCCTGTGTTGGACAGGAAAGTGAGCTGAGCACTGGGGTGGGCAAACAGAATTGCGCAGCTGCTCCTTCCTGCTTTGGCCAAGCAATTTCAGTTGTAAAAACCAGTTTTGGGGAGAGTTTAGAGGTTCTGTAGTGCTGAAAAACTGATAATCTGAAGGAAGACTCAAACCGCAGAGATTTCTATATATTTTTCACTGAAGTGTTTTTTTTCTCTTTTTAAGGGATGCATTTACTTATGTCCAAGAAAGAAGATTCTGTATTAATCCTAATGCTGGATTTGTCCATCAACTTCAGGTGACTTTTCTTTTAATTCTTGATCATAACTGAAAAGCCATTTAATGAATCATCTTCCTGCCAAACAGATATTTATACAAATATGCTTCAAGGAAATGTCAGGAGCTGGAGGAAGATGAGTGGGCACCCTCAATTCCTCAGAGTTAAGCTTTGGACAAAGCAAATACAGGAAAATAAATAAAAATCCTGTTTTGTGCAGTGATTAAGAGGCTCTGAAATGTCTTGGTTGGTGCTGAAGGAGCTGCAAAGGAAATGTTATTTGATCATTAAAGCCATTTCTTTAGTCATTCTGGAATTTTTCTTTCCCTCTGACTTCCTGATGGTTTTTGCATTCATGTCAAAGCAACAAAGAATTCTCCTTCTCCCAAATCTGTGCCTGAATATGAGATGCTCCCTGAATTGGTCCTGCTCATCCTTAAAAAGCTTTATGCCAAAGTAATTCCAATCAACATTTTTGGACCTTTCCAGGAATATGAAGCCATCTATCTAGCAAAATTAACCATCCAGATGATGTCACCTCTGCAGCTGGAGAGATCCCTCTCAGTCCCACCTGGCAGCACAGGTGAGAAGCTTCTCCTGCTGGGTGGAGGTGTGAGGGGATTGTTAAGCAAACCTTTAGCAGCAGATCCCAAACTCTTGGGAAGGGTTTTTGGTGTGCAAGCTGAGTTTAAACCTCAGTGTGAAGTGTTTAAATGTCCTGGTTTGCCGTGGCTGAAGTTCCCTCTTGCCTCCTGCAGGGAGTTTGAAGAGGATGCACGAGGAGGATGAAGATCTTGGCACCATGCAGGTGGCAGCAGCACAGAATGGCTGATGGCTGAGGACAAGCACTGGTTGTAGTGAGAATTCCTGCCAAGAAAGGTGAAGAAAACTAGGGGAAAAAAAAACCACACAAAAAACAAAACGAGAATTAATGCAAAACAATGAACACACATAGCTTCTTTTCAAATTACATGTTGCTTTCAGATGTAAATCTGCCTCTGCAACACACTAAGCATCATTTTTAAGATGTTGGACTTCTTGAATGAATAGATGGCACTGATTGTTTTACTCCTTTTTTACACTTTACAGTTTATTCTAAACCAAGATTTTTGGACTTGCAAAGAGGTATTATTGCAATAATGCACTTTTCATACTTGAAATTTCTTTATTTGTATGATATAAAGTTATTACTTTAAACAAAATGCAAGCGGGGGGGGCATTTGTTTATAAAGTTATTTGTGTAATTTATAACAAGAGACTTTAGTAAAGAAAAAGTTTGCTAAAATTCACCTTGTTCTCAGTATGTATTATGGCAGAAATGTGCTTTAGGAACATAAACATAGAGGTTAATTCAAGTTGAACTATCCAGAACATCCTCAAACTGATTTTCAAGGAGTAGTTGCTGTGGCAAGGCAGTAGTGACATCATTTGAAGTAAAAATTGGATTTGTCTTTGACAACTGAGGCCCAGGGCACTGCCCATAATGGGATCAAGACTTAAAGGATTCACCTCAGCTCTGGTAAAACCTCAGACTCAGCTAAGAAAACACTTCTTGGTGCTTTGAGGTTTTCAGACTGGGGATTGTGCAGCTGTAACTCTCCTGCCTCAGCAGCACAGAGGTTGTGCAAGCACAGTCCTGGTTCTGCATCTGCTTTATTTCCCAATGTTTGTTGCCTAAAAGCCAGGGCTGGAATGATTTGGGAGCACTGTGGTGACTAAGGCTATTAGAAAAGTGTGTGTTTGGGAAGTCTGAGCTTGGTTTGCAGACTGTGTTTTAACAGGGAAAAAATGGGCTCAGGATTTGGGGATCAGAGCATCCAGCAGCACATTCCTGTTCCTGCTGATACCCTCTGCCACCTACAGCAGGGATGGAGCAGCGTAATTCCTTCAGGGAGAAAAAAAATCTGCAATAAATAATGTGATGCTTTAGTTAGGAACTTTTCAACCAGAAAGAAGTGATTTCTCTCCTGGAGAACTGCACTGTGTCAGTATCCAGTGCTGGTTTGCAGTTGCAGAGCGTTTATTCCTGCTCTGAACTTAACCCTCCATAAAGGAATGCTCTGGGGCTCTTGGGAAACGCATTCCCAGCCTTTGGAGCACGAGGCTCCCACATGGCAGCAGTGTCCCACAGACACTGCCAGGCAGCAGCTGCTGCTGGGGCTGGGCTGGGAGGCATCAAATCCCTCTCCAGTTCAGGTCCCTGGGGAAGGGGAGGGATGGAGCACAGATGGAAGGCACTGATTCATCTCCAGGCTCGTCCATGCCTGTCTGTTCTCTCTGGGGTCCTGGGAACACTCCCCTCCTGCTGACAAGCTCCATGACTAAGGATTTTTCATCAATCCAGTTTTTTTCCCGGCATTACCCCCTCCTGGTGCCTTTTACAGTCATTCTGGTCTGTCTGCCTGTCAGATCCTAGGGGATTCTGAGATTTAATTTTCCTCAGATCTATTACTAAGCTGTCTATTTAAAGCTTCCCATGTCTGTCTGCTGTAGTTTCACTGCCAGGAGGGGTTTGTTTCAATATTTGGTTTTGGGGGTTGAACTAAAGGCAGGAATTTGATGCAAGGTCCCTCACTGTGGACGGGAAAGAGAAGTGGAGTGAATTGTTTTTATTTCCAGGTTTAAACACAAATCTGCAACACTCAAATCTTTGGGAATCCACAGCTCTTCATTAAGGTGCTGAAATTGCCTTTTCCAGCTTAGGGGAAGCAGAGTGAAGGAGCTGGAGATCTCTTCCTCAGGGTGGGAAAGGTCTCAGCCAAAAAATTAAATCACAGGGAGAAGGTAACATTCAACCTCTGGAGAAGCTGGAAGTGCTGTTAGGGCTGGTTCTGACAAAAAAAATGTGTTCCAGGCAAGGTTGGACAAGGCTTGGAGCAAACTGGGATAGTGGAAGTGGCCCTCTCCATGGCAGGGAGTGGAATGAGATGAGCTTTGAGGTCCCTTCCAGCACAAACCAGTCTGGGATTCTCCTGTGTTAACCAACTATATGTCCAAATACTGTAATTTTTATATATATATATTATTTGTATGGTTATATATATTTATATAAATAAAGAGATTTATATAGCTATATATAATTATATGAGTCTGAAACAGAGGTACCCAGATGCCTTTGTGGTGCAGGGAAAAGACATTTGTGAAAGGTTTGGTGTTTGCCTGAAGGAGGTCATGGTTGATTTTATACATATATAGTGTCTCTATATATGTGTATGTTATATATATATATAAAAATATGTATACATTATAAATATAATAACATATAAGTTTTATAAGTAACATATAGGTTTTATAAGTAACATATAAGTAACATATAGGTTTTATATATACATAAAATACATACCCACATATAGATTTTATATACTATACATACTTATGTCTATTTTAGATCTATTTTTATGTATAGATAACAAATGCACAGGTGCCCTTACTCTTCCCCCTTCAGCCCTTTGCACTGTGGATAAATTTCAGGGCTGCTGCAGGAAGTTTCCCTGCCCCGGGGCCATGCAGAGCTGGCACTTGTGGCATTGTCCCTGTCCCTGTGGTGGCCCAGTGGCACCTCCAGGTCCCCAGGCTGGGCACTGGCAGCTCTGCAGCTGCTGTTTGTCCAGAGGGGTGGGAATGTCACCTCTGGGATGAACAAAGAGCTCTTCAGCCGCCCCGAGGGGGCTGTGCCGGCGGGGCCATTGTGCTGCAGCCACAAACCGCAGCTTTCAACCCCATTCATCTGTCTGACAATGGGCTGAGCGGGGCCGCAGCACCTGCTCCTCACTCTGATCTTCTCCTTAACTCTTAGGGAGGGCCTGGGGCTCTTTAGATGGTGAAGATACCGTGGAATTCAAATAATCCGCTTTCAATCATGGAAATTCTGAATTAGTTAAAACTGTGAAAGGCAAGAAAATCCACCTCAGTTGCTTGGGCCAGCAGAAAGCAGAAGCTGCTTTACAGAATGAGAGTCAGGGCTTGAGCCATGCAGATGCTGTCAGAGGAGCACATCTGCTTTCTCTTGGGAGAGAAATCCACATGGAACTTATGCTCAAAGTGTTCTTTTCAGCCTAGGGAAGGGGAACAGGTAACTGCAGCAGGTGCTGCTGCTCAACAAGCACATCTTCACTCAATAAAAAACAGTCCAGGTACAGGTGGCAATCATTTATTCAGCTTAAACAAAGATATTCTTTAAAAAAATAATCAATAAATAAAGCAGACATCACCAAGGAGACACTGGATGGAGTGGAGAACCCTCAGGAAGATCAAGCAGAGCCCCCAGCACTGTAGAGTCGCTCTCCAGAGCACAAAGCAGGACAGTGTGGAAGGCCTGGCTGCCCACAAACAACCCTGGCTGGGTACAATGCCCTATTCATGCTGTGGGGTTTGTCACTCCCCACACAAAACACCACTGCTGGCAGCAGGCCTTGGGACGTTCTTTGCTTTTCACCCCTGGCAGAAGTGCTAAAATCATTGATCCAATCTTGCAGCACCAGAAGCAGCAACCCCTTGGGAGAGGAAGGGGGAAATTTCTCTCCTGGTTTGCTGTGCCACAGGTGGAAATCCCTCTTGGCCCTCTGGAGATCCAGGTGTTCAGTAAATCCCAGAATGGTTTGGGTTGGAAGGGACCTTAAACTCAGCTCATTCCAACAGGAACACCTTCCACTATCCCAGGCTGCTCCAGCCTGGCCGTGGACACTTCCAGGGATTCAGGGACAGCCACAGCTTCTCTGGGCACCTGTGCCAGGGCCTGCCCACCTTCACAGCCAGGAATTCCATCCCAATATCCCATCCATCCCTGCCCTCTGGCAGTGGGAGCCACTCCCTGTGTCCTGCCCATACAAAAGTCCCTCTCCCTCCTTTTTAGGCCCTGGAAGTGGCTGTAAGGCTTTTCTGGGCTGAGCACCCCCAGCTCCCTCAGGTGAAGCTGAATCTGCCATCCCACTCCCCTTCCCAGTGATTACTAACCAGAACCCCACTCCCTATGGGATACATTCCAGTTTCCCAGTTACCCTCTGCCCTGTTGGACACCACGTTTGGGGTTTTTATGTCAGAAAAAAAAAAAGTAATTATCCTGAAAACTAAGTTATCAGCTAAAGTGCAGGAGCCCTGCAGTGAGAAGCACACATCCATTTTCAGACTGGGAATTCAGCACAGCCTGCAAGGATTCTCCCCAACCTGCACCAACAGTAACAAATCCAGTCTTGGAAAACAGTGCCTAGGAAACTTCTGATGCACCACCAGCACTTCCATGAGATGTCATGGAAAAAACCAGAACTAAGGCCTGTTCTGTGTCACTAATTCTGCATAAGAGAAGCCTCATCCCTTCCCCAGCTACATCATCCTTCCATCAGCACAGCCAGGACAGTCCCAGGGGCTGTCCTTTGGCTACTGAGAAAAGAAGCACAAACCTTTAGAAAAATACAATGCAAGAAAAAATTTGAGATAAAAATATAGACCTTTGGTTAAAAACCATCCCTTTAACGAGTCCTTTGTAACTCAGCTAGAACAAAAAAGCTTCACCTCGATTCAACAGTAGTAAAAATTAGTTCTAAACTTATTTTCTAATCCAGAGGACTCTTTCTAAAACCTCAGTAATTTTCTTCCCAAGATTTACACATTTGATGTTCATTATTTATAGGGATTGTTATATCTGCAGCAATAAACTATAGAAATTTTCCACGGAGAGAATGATTGTAGCACAAGCTCCTCCACCAAAAGTCTTTCCAAGAAAATAAAAGAACCCAGAACACCTAGAAGTTGTTAATTAAAGAAGCGTTGAAACATGTAGTTTTCATCAGATACCAAATAGCCAAACTTCTTGTAGAAATCCACATTTTTGGGCAGACACTCCAGTGTGATTTTGTAACAGTTCAGTCTCTTACTTAGCAAGGTGAGGGTGGACGTTAATCTGGAAAAGACAAAAAACCAGCAGTTAAATGCTGGGTCAGTGAGTATTTAATGAGTTACATTATCACAGCCACAACACTGAGGGCTGACAGCACTCTCTGTGTTTTCCTGCAGATCATTTTATGCCCAGCTGGTGATCCCTGCTGGCTGAATTCTCCCCAGGTGCTTGGCAGGAAGGTGTGAGGTGTAAAGGGCTTGCTGAATGGCAAAGGTGGGGAATACTCACAGTTTTCCAAGCTGCTTCCCTCTGCACTCCCCGCTGACCACCACATCTTCTATCCTGCCTCTCTGAAAACACAGGCAAGTGTTTGTTAGCCTTGGAATTGCCCTTCCAGCTCCCTGTGTTCACAGCCTGGCTGGAACTCCCAGCACGGAGATCTGCAGCCATCTGCTCTGTCAGAACCACGTCTGACTCCTTCCAAAGCTCACTGGCACAATGGGACAGATCTCCAAGTGCTCCTTTTCCTTAGGAAAAGGAAGCTTTGGCTTTTCCTATCAGCTCAGCACTCAAGGATGTGATATAGTTTTAAAATACACAAAATACTTGACCTTTTAAAAAGTATATTTTTAAAATATTTACATTTTTAAGGCTGGAAAAGCCCTTCAAGACCATCGAGCCCAACTGCTCCCCAGCACTGCCAAGGTCACCACTGACCCGTGTCCCCAAGTGCCACATCCACATGGCTTTTAAATCCCTGCCGGGGTGGGGCTCCACCATTTCCCTGGGCAGCCTGTAAAGGGCTGGACCACCTTTTCCACAAGGAAATTTTTCCCAATATCCAACCTCAACCTCCCCAATACAACCTGAGGTTGTCACCACATAATAACACCATAAAACCAACACGCCCAGAGTCAGAGCCAGGATCTTTTCCTCCCTCCCCAGCTGCAGGATTTACCTTGGCACAGGAGTGAGTGAATTTATGTTCTATAACCAGCGTTGCCGTAGCAACGATCTGCCCCAGGTTGGTGTCCTCCACCACGGTGACGTAGTAATCTCCAGACCTCTTCATGTGCTCAAAGGTTTCTGTGGAACAGGCAATTCAGGCTCACAGTAAACTGCAGTTAAATCTGATATCTGCAGCAGTCTCTGACTGCAAATCACTGTGGGATCATAGGGGATGCACCCAAGACTCCAGCAAATGAATGCCCCAGAGTCAGACTAACCCATGAAAAAGCAACAATTACACAAATTCCTTTTCCTTATTTTCCTTGCTGAGCAGATGGGTGCTACAATAGCAAATCATGGAATGTTCTGGGCTGGAAGGACCTTAAAAGCTCATCTCATTCCACTCCCTTGCATGGGCAGGGACACCTTCTACTATGCCAGGCTGCTCCAAGCCCTGTCCAGCCTGGCCTTGGACACTGCCAGGGATCCAGGGGCAGCCAGAGCTTCTCTGGGCACCTGTCCCAGGGCCTCACACCTCACAGGGAAGAATTTCATGGAAAGGGTTGTTCAGCCCTGGCCCAGGATGCCCAGGGCTGTGGTGGAGTCCCCATCCCTGGAGGGATTAAAATCTGTGTGGATGTGACACCTGTGGACATGGGTTAGTGGTGGGTTTGGTTTAGATCCTGTGATTCCCTGAATCCCTGAACTGCCTCCTTACTGCCTCTCTGGCCTGGGAGTAGCATTTAAAGGGGATCTAAAGTAGGTTCAAAAAGAGCTGGAGAGGGATTTTGGTCAAGGGCCTGGAGGGACAGCACCAGGGGAATGGCTTCCCACTGCCAGAGGGCAAGGATGGATGGGATATTGGGCAGAAATTCTTCCCTGAGAGGGTGATAAGGGCCTGGCAGGTTGTCCAGGGAAGCTGTGGCTGCCCCATCCTGGAGAGCATTCCAGTCCAGGTTGGAGAAACTTGGAGCAACCCAAATAATCCATGCTACCAGCTATCTAAAGCTCAGTCTAAAAACCAGTTTCGCAATTTAGGCAGCGATTTAAGCAGCCCTTGGGGATAGCTGCAGCTGGATGCAAGGCTGAGTGCCAAGGGGAGCTGAACTCATCCCTCCCTCTGGCATCAGGCCCTCAGGAGCTTCACACCTGAGCAGCTTTGCTGTCAGCATCAGGATCTTTTGATTCCCTGCAAGCCCTGTGGAAAAGCCAAGGAATGATGAGGTACTCACTGATGAATTGCTCCGGGCTCACAACTCCTGCTTCTGTCAGCTGACCCAGAACCTTAAAAAAGCCTGGCAGGAAAGGAGGGGGGAAAACAACTCTCAGTGAGGGACAGACACACAGCCAGCTCCAAACAGCAAGAACAATCCAACACAGCTGTTTGGAGAGGGACCATCCCCATGGCCCCATCCCATCAGAACGGGATGGAACGATGCTGAGGACTGGCTAAAGCTCAAGTGAGCTTGGAATAATGAGTCCAAAGCAACCTTTTCATCCAAATTCCAGAACTGAAGAAGAATTCGTGCACCAAGATACTTGTTTATGTTGTTTTGGTATCAAAGGGTACAGTATGAACAACTGTGCTCCCTCTCCAAAACCATGGTGAATGGGAACTTGTGGATTTGGAAGATCTTACTTGAATTTTAGGATTAAAACAGTAAACCAAATTTTCAGGGTCACCCAATACAGCACCAATCCATGATGCCAGAAGCTCAAATTTAGGGACATGGCCACAGCCCCACGGCTACCAGAGCCCAAGGGATGTTAGGACGAGGCACAGGTGGCATTGTTGGGGTGTCCTGTGCAGGTTCAGAAGATGGACTCAATGATTCCTGTGGGTCCCTGGCAAGTCAGGATGTTCTAAAATTCCATCTAATTGTTTACTGATAAATATGAGAAAAAATGAGCAATCCCAATCTACTGAGAGCTCCTAGAGAAACACAAGTTACCAACTCAGCGCCGCAGTGTCATTTCTGGCAATTATAAAGCAGGATTCTACCTCGATTTAAATCAGCTGTGCAAAGTGGTCTCAGGACCAGCCCATCCCCTGGATCCAGTGGAGAAATAGCAGGAGAAAAGGTCGTGGTGTTCTCACTCCAGTCGAGTTCCTGCAGGATGCTGGGGTCAAACATGGGCGTGTCATCGGGCATCACGGTGGCCACGGGCATCATGGCTGCAAACGGAGATCTGGAACGGAACGAACAGGTAAGGCATGGTTTAATCTCTAAATAAGTTGTTCCCCCTGTAGCACGCCGTGGGATTTTCCTCAGGGATTTCCAGGAAGGTGAATACACTGCTGTTATCTGCTCAGCCTTCACCTGCTGGGTTAACAGAGCGTGTGCAGCCGGGCACGGCGCACGTCAGCCGGAACCAACACACGGAGCTGGTGTGTTTATCCTGGAAAAGCCCAGCCTGATTAGGCTCTGAGGAGGGCATTTAACCTCTACAGCCCTCTGGCAAGGAAAGCATCACTAAGAAACCTCCCAACAACCTGTCCAGCCATCATCTGCACTCCTGTTCCATGTCAAACCTGCTGTGGGAATAATGCACTTTTTTCCGAGCAGCCCCACCCCACGGATATTTAATGTCGGGCACAAGGTGCCACATCCCAGAGCAGGTGATGGCACAGCAGAGCCCAGCCTGCCTCTCCTGGGCTGTCCTGTTTGCTCTGGGTGTTTGCAGAGCCCAGCTGCCAAGCACAGCCCCACAGTGTCCCTGAAACAGGGCCAAAGTGACAGTGAGACACCTGTTAATGATTGAAGAGATTGGGTTATTCTGGGTGACAAAGGGAGGTATTTTCCTTATTGCATCCAAGGCTGGTTGGGCTTGAAGCCACCTGGGATAGCAGAAGGTGTCCTGCCCATGAGATGGGCTTGAAAGTCCTTCCAACCTGGAATTCTGTGATAAAGGAAAATAATTCTTACTCTGTCCCCTGTAGAATACCTGGTCAAGGTTCTGGTATGAGCAGAGCTCATGAAAACTTCTAATTTCTTTACAAATCTTCAGATTGCCTAAGCTGCACCATGAACGATTCAGCAGTCACACACTGGTGGTCAGGCCAAATAAACAGGAGAAAGAAAAAAGTGTTTGGGATGACACTTTTTAAAATAAGGCACCTCACAGCCCAAGAAAGAACAGAATGTTTGCTGTGAAGCATCACAGTGTAACGAGCCTCAAAAGTGAAAGTGGCTCCAGAAACCCAACTGAAATTTCTTAACTAAAAAAAATCAACACAAAATCTCTTTTTATGCCACCTGCTGGTACACACTGGGTTTGAATCCCAGCTCTCATCCTAATTTTGCATATAAAAGTAAAAATATTTGCTGTTACAGCAATTAAACAGCAACACAAACTCTCATCCCGTGTGAATTTTCAAAATGAAACAGCGGGAAAGATGAATTGCAAAGAGAAACATTCCCACAGATTTCTCTGTTCCTACAGCACATATAGTCCAATGTCAACCTTCCTCTGTCCCCCAGAATTCCCAAGTGTCCATACCAACATTCAAACAGTGTCTGTACAGAATAAAGCAGACCTCAAACTCCAGCTCAGGGTTGCAGCACGCCAAGGGAAAAGCACAAAGAGAAAATAAAATTTTTGATGCTCTATGAGCAATTAGTGACCAACGAAGAGTCACTTTCCCAACTACTTCCGGCACAGCTGGAGCAGGATGGAGTTGTAAGCTATGCTCATTTTCTGGAGAGAGGAATATGATTTACAATAATGTCAATTAAAAATAAGAAAAAAGGATTAAGGCACAGGCAAGGAGAGCTCAGCCTGTGGGTCACCCTGTTCCCCACATATGTTGGAAGCAGGGTATGACCAGGGAGCTGAGCTGCCATCCTGGGGGACACCCCAGTTTTGGGGGACAGGGTGACAGAGCCCAGCCCCCCAGTTTTGGGGACAGGGTGACAGAGCCCAGCCCCCCAGTTTTGGGGGACAGAGTGACAGAGCCCAGCCCCCCAGTTTTGGGGGACAGGGTGACAGAGCCCAGCCCCCCAGTTTTGGGGACGGGGTGACAGAGCCCAGCCCCCCAGTTTTGGGGATGGGGTGACAGAGCCCAGCTGTACCCCTGGAGCATCCCCACGGCTTTCCTCAGCTGAAGCAGCCCCGTGGGACAGACCAGCCTCCCGAGGAGCTCCCCGCACCTCACACATCCCCTGAGGGGAACCCCTCAACACTCAGCCCTTGGGGGTGAGGGGGGGATCTCCACACCTCACACAGAACCTCGGGGGGTCCCACACGCCCTCTCGAGGGATCCCTACAGCTCCCTCGGGGGTAAGACCCTTCCCCAAACCAACCCCTCAGAGGAGACCCCTCAACTCACACATGCTCTTCTGAGGGGGGACACACACACACACCTTCGGGACGGTCATATCAACCCCGCACACACGCGCAGCCCCTCGGTGGTGTCCCCACAGCGCCCCTGAGCTGCGGCAGCTCCCCGGGGATGGGACCCGACCCTCTCAGAGGGGACCCCGACCCCTCAGAGGGACCCCGACCCTCTCAGAGGGGACCCGCTCCCTCAGCCCCTCAGGGCCCCCTCACCGCACTCACCCGCGCGCGCCGGCGCCGCCGCACGCGCCCCGCACGGACGTGGCAGCGTGGGCGGGGCCGCGCGCGCGCGCGCCACCTCCCGCGCAGCAGCCAATCGCAGCCCACCGCTGCTCTGCCTCGGCCAATCGCTGCCCATCTCCGCCCGCTGGCCACGCCCCCACCCTCAGCCCCCCTCGCGACCTTTCCGCTCCCTCGCGCGGATTGGGCGGGAGCGCTGAGGACACGCCCACTCCCCTCAGAGAGGCCACGCCCCTCAGCGCCCCGCCAAGATGGCGGCGGTGCCGTGTGGGCGCACTTCCCGCCGCCTGAAGACCCTCACAGAAAACGCCTTTTCACCCTCACAGGAGTCCCGGTGGGATCTGCGAGGGGAAAGGTGAGACAGAGTGACAATTTAACACAAATCCATTTAGATTTAAGTGAAATGTACCGCTTTGAACTTGCTAACATAAGTAAAAATATGTTTAGTCTAGTAACTACAGTGCTAGCAAAGTTGTGCCAGCTAAAGAAAAAATAGGCTCAGACCTCAAAAGAAACAGGGCAGAGTGACCCAAGAATTCTTTCTATACTTTCTGACAAAAACTGAGTACAAGTGTAACTAGCTGTAAGTGTAACGCAAAATCAACAAAATGAATATGCAGAAACCTATTGTAAAATTCTATGCATATAGAAATTAATCAGAGTAATAAAACAAGATCAGAAGTTCTCAAAAGTGCACATGTCCATTAAAAAGCAATTAGCGCCCACATACGTCCAAAGCGCTGTGAATAACATACCGTTATTATTATTATTATTATATAAACATACCGTTACCTTACAAATCTTTATTAGAATTGTGAGGTTTTGATTTTCCTCCAGGTTTCAAGGGTGCAGGCAGCGAGGCACGACACATAAACACACCCCTTGCAAATTTCCCATATAAACCCACCCTCTTCCAGTTTAAAGCCATTGTCCTGTCCCTCCAGCCTCTCACTTTGATAATTTTTATCTCTGGGATTTTTTTTTTTTCTTTTTTTGGAGGCTCCATTGCTCTGCTTGGACAAAACCTGTGCTGGGACGGGCCTTGTTCAGTTTTCAGCCTCCAAGGCTGACAGACTTCACGAATAAGGGTTTCAACTCCTTTCCAACCCAAAAAACCCAACTTTGGGATCATCTCAAGAGACAGTTTTACGAATAGCTGAGGCTGAGGTCAGGGCACGCACGTAGCCTGCAGCAAGAGAACTGGTGAACGCAATAATTGCACAAAATGCTTCTGAGACATTATTCTCATTTTCCATGTGTCTCCCCTGTTATTTTACCATCTGAATGAATCATTCTGTCACCATGGAAACAATCAACATTCCTTATTTTTTGACTTCTTCAGGCCCAGAGTGACCAGATGACACACACCGACCTTCCTCAGTCCAGGCACACCCAAAATCTGGGGGCGAAGCTCCCAGATTGCAGCCAGATGAACCACTGCAATATTTAACCTTTTATTGTGAGGGAAAAGCACAAACTGGGTGAGAGTTTGCCCTCCTATCCCTTATTGTTTGTTTTGAGGGGTCCAGATGTGTGGGAATGTCCCATCCATGCTGAAAATGAATATTTTATTCTGCTGCTTTGCCTGGTTGAACACTGGGAGTGTGGAGACATTTCCATGGTGTGAAAAATGACAGACAGAGGTTTAGCTTAACTCCCACCACAGTGCCTTTTCCTGGATGGAAAGATTGAATGGATTTGAGGTAGATTTTACACTTTGTGTAAATCAAAGTGGAGAGTCGATGCTTTCTAAAACCAAAACCATGCCATAACAAGGCCACGACCACATGGGGTCAGCCCAGCTTTCCCCTCTGAGGCTCAGAGCAGAGATTCTGGATCTGCAGTGACTTTTGGAATGTTGAGAAATGAGGGGAAAATCCTTTATTTTGGTTAAAACTCTTGCTGTGTCCCAGCAAGGCTGAGTTTGTCAGTCCTGGAGACCAGTGCTGTCCTGTTCCCCACCACAGGTGATGACAAATCTTTTTGCACGTGGATTTTGTAGCAGCAAGAGTCTAAACCAGAGCAGAGGAATGATCTGGATGGGAAAACCTTCCTTGTCATTCCAGACCCTTGTAAATAGTCTTTCTCCATGCTTTTTGTAGGCTCCCTTCAGGCACTGGAGGCTGCAATTAGGTCACCCTAAAGTCTCTTCCAGGCTGAACAATCCCAATCTTTTCATGTAGGAGAGTTGCTCCATCCCTCTGATCATCTTGGACTCATTCCAACAGCTCAATTACATTGATTGGTGTTCCCAGGATGGGAAAATCTGCATCATGGATCAGCCACTTCTGCTGAGTCCACACATGAAATGGGCTTTGCTCCTTCTTTGCTGAACAGGGACAGGGCCCAGGGAAAGGCTGGAGCTGTGCCAGGGGAGGTTTAGGTTGGATATTAGGGAAGAATTCTTCATCCAGAGGGGCCCAGCCTCCCCAGGGAATGGGCACAGCCCCGAGGCTGTCAGAGCTCCAGGAGTGTTTGGACAACGCTTCCAGGCACAGGGTGGGATTGTTGGGGTGTCTGTGCAGGGCCAGGAGTTGGACTCTGATCCACAGAATTCACAGAATTCACAGAATTCACAGAATTCACAGAATCACAAGGCTGGAGGAGACCTTCCAGATCATCGAGTCCAACCCACTCCCAACACCTCAACTCAACCCTGGCACCCAGTGCCACATCCAGGCTTTGTTAAACACACCCAGGGATGGGGACTCCACCACCTCCTGGGCAGAACATTCCAGAACTTTATCACTCCTTCAGTAAAAAACTTTTTCCTAATATCCAACCGAAATTTCCCTTGGTACAGCTTGAGGCTGTGTCCTTTGCTTTTGTCAGTGCTGGCCACAGCCACCCTTCAGGGGTTTGGTCCCTGGGCTCCCTTCCAGCTCAGGACATTCTGTAATTCTTTCCAAGGCCAACAAGTGTCCAAAGCTCCCTGGTATCTTCGAGGTCAGGATTTGGCTGCTGAAGACAAGGAGAAAGTTGAAATAATACCTTTCAGCAATTTCCTCGTTTCCACATCTCCTCTCTGCCAATACCACCGTGTGGCATTTTCTGTTGCAGTGGGGAAAAAAAAAACCCAAAATTCCAGCAAAAATCTCCTTTGGCTGCTCTGGATTTGTCAGCAGGGAAATTGCAAATCCATGACTGCAGGACAGCCAGAAAGATGGGAAGGGAGCCATGCACTTGTTTGATGTCAGTGTCAGAGCCTGAACACACCCTGCTTTATGAGGAGGGAAAAAGTGCTCTCCTTTTCCTTCGGCTGCATGACACAAGGCAGGAAGAACAGATGATGCCACGATAAAAGTGTTTACATTCTGTTTTGGGAACATGCTCAGGGCTTGGAATACCCAGGGATCAGCCTCTTTAGTTCTTTTAACCTCTTACAGACAGCGCTGTATGCAGCCACAAGCAAATCCTGAGGGGTGGAAATGTCTGAAGAGCTGCACAAACCAGCTCCAGGCACCTGGATTTTGTAAAGGATCCAGTTTATCTGCTGAGGAGAAAGATGCTGCTGTGTCTCCCCAAGTGTTTCCTGCAGACAGATAATGAGATACTAAATATCTGCTCCAGCTTAATAAAGTCAAGAGGAAACCTGGCAAAGCTCTGCTGCCATCCGGATGGCCTCCTGGGCCTGGGAAATGACATTTCCTTGGGGTTTGGGATAGTGTTAGTGCAGTTATGGAAGGAGAAGTGCATCTGGACCGTGTCTGCCTTGCTGGAAATAATTATCCCATCTTTAAGCAAGCAGCCAAATGTAATTTAACTGCCCAGAAAGTCTTCAGAGCCACAGGGGTGCTGCAGCCCCAGCCTGCCATCCATGGAGGCTGGCAGTGTTTGGTGTCTTCATGTGTTCCCAGCTTTCCTGCCTGTATCTCAAACCCACTTCTTTTCCATGGAGAAAATCCTTACCTAAAACTGACAGTTCCCCTTATTAATGCTCCAATATCCTGGCTCAGAGTCCAAGTCAAGGCTTTAAAAATACAACAAAAAAAAGCTCCAACAAGAAACTTAATTATGGGTCTCACCCTCCTTGGGATGTGGCTGTTTTATGCGAAGTAAAATAGTATCAGCTCATCCCCAAAAAATGGAGTTGGGGTTGGATCCAGCACAAATTTGGACTCAAGGTGAGAAATGGGGGGATGAAGCCCAAATGGTGTTTCTGATCCCAAGGTGCTGCAGGTCCAGGGGTGTGCACATTGCAGG